TCCAGAAAGGTTTCTGGCTTAATTTGCTCTAGGACCCACTTGGTTGTCCTTTTGGCTGTCCATGGGATCAACTGTATGTATATATGTGTATGTATGTATATAAAACTCTATAAAGCCATTTTTGGAAATTTATATGCAAAACAATGTTGACATTATGGTAAAGGAATAGCATTTTGCTCCCTGAAATAAGCAGGAGATCACCCCAGATTATAGACCCTGAATCCATGAGTGTGTAAGATGCCACTCACTTTGGTGCGACCCATGTCAAATTTGTGCAGAGCACATACAAACATACCAGCTGGTGCCAATTACCACCTGTTGTTGTGTGTCTTCAAAGTCGTCCCCAGCTTATGGCAGCCCTCCCTCCACTCCATCCGATGTCATCTGGGGGCGAGACACTAGGCCAGAGGTAGGCAACCTAAGGCCTGGGGGCCGGATGCGGCCCCCCGAGGCCTTTTGACCGGTCCCAAGTTGGTCCTGCCGCTGCCGCCACCACCCGCCATTATCATATTTATTATTACTTGTTCTTGGGGTTTTCTTGGCAAACTCTCCACAGGGAGTTTGCCATGGCTTTTTTGGGGCTGAGAGAGTGTGCATGCATTTTTTAATTTAAAAAAATTAAATTTTTAATTTTAATATTTATTTATTTATTTATTTATTTATTTATGGTGCTTCAGCCCCCCAACTGTCTGAGAGACAGCAACCCGGCCCCCGGCTCAAAAAGGTTGCCTACCCCTGATTTAAAACATCCTTTCAGATTCCAGTATAGCAAGACAAGCTTGGTTAGTCTACTGCAAAGGTCATTGCCTGGTAAATTTTAACTGGAGCTGCACAGAATCTGGCAACATTATATGTTGTATCAGGGTTGACGTCTGAAAGCAACAGAGAAGTGTAAAACTGACTGAGCATGTATTACTCCAGTGCTCAAACTACAGGGATATCCACCTTGGCCTTATTTCACCTCTTTTGCATAAAACAATACTGTTTTAACCTGTTTTTTTTTACCTTCTTTTATTCTGTATCCCCTTTTTACCTGTGCTAGTCTATGACCGTAATAAAGATCCTATATTCTATCCAAGGATGTAAGCTGGCCCAGAATTGGGTAATCTATAGACAATTTAGCACCATAAAAAGAAATTGTCTTGTGACACCTTAAGGACTAACTAACCAGTAGAGAGCTATGTTCCCCATGAATGTGTGGATTGCTATGAGCAAAAGGCTACTCCCTTCAGAAAATGGGTCAGCCTGCCCAGAGTTGAAGGATCAGTGTTAAAGGTGGGATTTTAATGAAAATAAGTTTTAAAAACTGATAGTTAATGCAGATTTAACATTTTGCAGATAGATGTTACAAGATCTGAATATCTTAGGGGGGTTGCAGACTGCCAGAAATAGTGCAAATTGAGTCCACTTTAATGGTTAGGGTTAGGGTTAGGAAATCATGGGAACTGTATTTTATTGTGGCACCAGAGCTCAATGTCTCAGAAAAAAACCAATTCCCATGATTCCCTAGCACTAACCCTAACCCTTAAAGTGGACTCAATTTGCACTATTTCTGGCAGTCTGCCAACCCCTTTCTTAGTTATCCAGCAGCAAGGATTTTTGAAAGTTGTTTTAATAATCTGTTTGTTAGGTTTGCCAGCAAGCACGAGTTTCCCAATTCGATTTGCGTGTGATAATTGCACCCTATAGATTATGCAGGGATTTCTTTGTGTTGACTTAGATCCTGATCTTGTTTTTGCAATGCAAGCAGGCTTAGACCACCCCATTAATTACCACACTGAACATATAACTTGAGAATATTTTCAAAGTGTCATGCTCAATTACAGTCCACTGAAAAACATGTTTTTAACAGTTCCATAGTTGTTGGTAAAAAAAAAAGATTGGAATAAATAAATCCATTGAGCTCTTTCCTCCTCCCATTGCATAGCTTCTACAAGACAAATAGTTTATTCACATTCCATTGTAGTTAGCTGCCCTCAAGTCGGTTCCGACTAATGGCAACCCTGTGGATGAGACATCTACAAGAATTCCTGTCTTCTACTGTCTTGCCCAGATCCTGCAAGCCTTTGCCCATAACCC